TTCAGTATTTATGATATATTTTATGGTTTCATGTGAGAATAGCATATGTTCGTCTTCACCAAACTTCTTGTCAGCCAATGACTTCTAAGCTTTGTGCAGATATGCTTTTAGTGTCACAGAAATCTGAAGCTGGAAGGGACATTGTCTATCCCGTAAATTCCATAGCATTCCACCCCATGTAAGTACTATAGAGTTCGTTAACTGGGTCTTGTACTCTTGTTTATTGTCAAGTTATGAGGCCGATGCAAAAGGTTATATATTTAATTTTTGCTCCAAAGAATGACTAAAAACCGAGGGTTACTACGATGTAGTAGGGATGCAATGGGAAATTCCTTGGTGTTTTGCCAATTTCCTTCTATGAGATTCAACAATGGCTCCTTTATACAATCTCAAAAATGATGGGCATGAGTATGATGTTAATTAGACAATTAAATACTTGCGCGTATGCTTGGAAACCATTAGCCACATTGAAGCTGAAAGGTGACAGATGATACCATAACTAACTGTGAAATTCAGCTGACTGAAAACCAATTGGTGAAAAATTGATCTGGGATGATGTGAAATTATGATTGTTCTTGGGCAGCTGATTAGTCTGTGCTGGATCTACAGTAATACCCAACTTAGTTGATACTTTATGCTTAAATTCATGTTTCAACTATACTAGGCTACAAAACTGAAATGTTTTCTTTGCCTTGTTGATCTGATTGGGGATATGACGGAGTTGTTCACACTAGGATATCTTGGAGTGATTAACAGGGTGCTGCATGATTTTTCTACTTGCAGATACGGTACATTTGCCACTGGAGGTTGATGGTTTTGTAAATGTATGGGATGGAAACAACAAGAAGAGGCTGTACCAGTTTTAGTTGCTTTATTTTTTAAAATATTTATTTCTATCTTTCACCTGAGTGAATTGCTGAATTACTGTTCTCTTTCAGTACTCAAAATATCCAACTAGCGTTGCTGCACTTTCATTTAGTAGAGATGGACGCCTCCTGGCTGTTGCATCGAGTTACATTTGAAGAGGGGCCTAAGCAGTACTCTCTCTCTCTCTCACTCACCCCCCCCTCCATTCATATGCATTTTAACCTGAGTATTTTTGCCTAGTTTAAAAACTTTTGAAGAGATTGTGCTCAGAACACTTGTGACTTTATTATCGTTGTTGCTATTTTTGTTTAGAAAAAAGAACACTTTGTAACACTAACCTGTGTTGCAATTACTCTGCAGGCATGAACAAGATGCCATCTATGTGCGCAGTGTAAATGAGATAGAAGTCAAACCGAAACCCAAAGTCTATCCTAATCCACCAGCGTGATTTCCTGATGAACGTAGTAATTTATTTTCTTTTTACCTACTATGCCGTGTACTTTGCCCAATTCTTTGTTACTTTCGTATGTAAACTAATTATGCGAAGTTCTCAATTTCTAGATACCAAATATGGCGAGATTTCAGCTTTTTCTACTTTTTACTTGGGTGCCTCTATTCATGGAGATATCTATGTTGTATAAGTTGACTTCAAGATTTCAATCTAGTGAGATGCCTGTCCTCACTGTTACATATGGTGGTTGACCTGCCAATAGGATTAATCAATGCTCAAAATATTTCAGTTTTGAAAAAAATCCATTTAATTTCACCTTTTTGGACACCAAGTCTAAATCCAAGTCGGCAATTCAATGTGGTAGTTTCTGGTCCATGTGGTTATGGGCTGAAGACATATCTACAAGAAAGTAACTCAAATATTTAGTCGGTGATGAATGAATGCTGAATAGTCTAACGGATTTCCGAGGCGATTATTAAAAAAAAAAAATGTCTAGATTTTTCTTCTCTTTACATGTTGTTGCATGTATTCTTAGTGAGGGATTGGTTGAGCTTAGACAGGCTAACTGTTGTTTCTATTCGTCGCTGAGATGTGGAAAAGATAACTGATTGTATTATACAGGTATTTTAAATTTATTGCCAATGATTATCCAACTTTACAGTTTACACACATACAAAAAGATGGATTGCCCATTATTTCCCCAAAAAGGTAAAAAGGTATGCTGAGAATACATGCGATGAGGTCATCGAGGGATAGAGCAAGAAGAAACAGCCACTAGAATGGGGAAGTATTTTCTTCCATTTCCCTTCAATTCTCTCATCTCCATCATTTATTAATTTTTTTATTTAAAAAAATTATTTAATAAAAAATTTTTGAATAATAAAGATGGCGGAAGTGGAGGAAAAGGGAGAAAAAAAAAAAAAAAGGAGAGACTCCTGATCTCTATTTGTCACTTGCTTAAGAGAAAATTCATGAGGATTGAATCGTGTCAGGGTAAAGCATCTAGAACCTTCCACGTGGCACCATGTCAGCTTCACCACAGATTTGGACGGCTTTTTTAATTTAATTTATTTTAATATATCTTGTGTTGCGATGTTCCGTGCCGGATGAGGATGAAAGGAGTAGTAGCACTGTTTGAAGCGAACCAGTGGATTATTAACCATCAACGGCTTGTCAGTTACAGCCAACATGTGGAAGTACCTGAACTCGAGAACTCAACCGCCACGTGTCACCATAAGGTCCCTCCCTTATGGCTCCTTTTTTGTCCCTCTCTGTAGTCCTCACTCCCGCACTCTTTGTGCCTTTACTTTAAATTAAATGTTTACATACATATACATGTATGTATGTATGTATGTATTTAATTAAGGAGCACAAGAGAGATGCCAAGCAACATTTTTTTGGTATATATTTAAAAAATAAAAATAAAAGGGACGCAAGTGAGGATGAGGTTGGGCGAGTGAGCTGGATCCCCAAGTGGCCAAATGTGCGACTGCCAACCAGTGATTAAAAGAATTAAGGGAGTGGCCACCGCCTAATTGGGCGCGACTGAGGCGCGTGACGTTAGTCTTCCCTAAGGCATGACACTAACAAGTAGCTATGCTGTTCCTGCTGCCTCCATTACTCCGCATCGGACTTGAATTCAGTGGGCGAATTCAAATCCATTCACTCCTTATTCCGTTGTAGTCAGTATATTTTTATTAATATTTAAATATTATTAAGATACATCTTTTTTGAAGAAATTTAAAATAATTCCTATAATGAGGACACCCTCAATCTCCTTGAAAAAATTGAAATTTGACATATTTTGAATATTACATGACAAAATTTTTAATAATAATTTAATTAAATTGAATGGTTATTATGGTGTTATATGAAATACTCGATAAATGAGACCACTCGATGAACACAAATCTTCACCGGACTCTAATTTTTTTAATAAAACCAAAGGCATAAATAATAAACTTCAATTGATATGATTGGAGTTGGGAAAAGCTTCAAGATAACAAAGCTCTCTCAATGAACATTTATTAATTGAGTTACATGATAATTAAGTTTACCGTAATGTTATTTTAATAAAGTAGTATCGTTGAAACGAAGGGATATCGGGATGATGATTCAATGGGATTGAAAGGTGAAGATGATAACAAGTAGATGGGGGTGAAGGGTTATGGATAGAAGAAGTAGTTGAGTGAGGAGCAAAGATGGGGAGAGAGAGAGAGTATTGGCGGAACAAGTCACAAAGGTTACGTTGACACATAAAAGACGTACGCGGGTGAGAGATAGCTCACTTAATTAACCGCAAAGTAATTCCAACGACAGTCTTCTTCTTCCCTTCACCTTCCTTGCTTCCCTTGCCATCCCTCCGCGAAGTAACCTCCACAAAACCGTGTTTTGCACGCATCCAAACAATGTTGACTTCCCTTTTCGCGTTCTCATTTTGAGTTTGAGTTACAAAAGGCAGACCCCATCACGTACCTTTGTTTTGACTTGGAAAAAGTCCTCTCTCTTCCTTATTTGACCCACTTCACTCTCTCTCTCTCTCTCTCTCTCTCTCTCTAACTCTTCTTCCACCAACTATCTTCTTCCTTCCTTCGTTTATTCACCTTCTCTTACTATAAATTCCTTCGCCTCACACCCCCCTTCCTCATATCCACTCTCTATCTGCCTCTCTCTCTCTCTCTCTCTCTCTCTCTCAAGCAGTTCACTTTTTAACCTGCTTCACTCTCTCAAACAATGGCTTTAGAGGCTCTCAATTCTCCCACTACTGCTCCAACTTCTTTCACCTACAAGCAAGAGGAAGACGATGATGAGCTTGATCTTCACTGGTCCAAGGGCAAGCGTTCTAAACGACCTCGTTTTGACTCTGCCAACCCTCCTTCTGAAGAAGAGTATCTCGCTCTCTGCCTCATCATGCTCGCCCACAGCGGCCACAACAAAACAGCCACAGACTCCGCCTCCGCCGCCTCTCCGCCGCGTCCTTCTTCTTCATCATCGCCTCCCAATAATAATCCTATCAAGCTAGCTCATAGGTGTACCGTCTGCAATAAAGTATTCTCTTCTTACCAAGCACTCGGTGGCCACAAGGCCAGCCACCGCAAGTCCTCCTCGGAATCCGCCGCCGCCGCCGACAACGCGTCCACCTCCTCTGGTACCGGCACGGGCAGGATGCACGAGTGTTCCATCTGTCACAAGGTCTTCCCTACTGGTCAGGCCTTGGGTGGGCATAAGAGATGTCACTACGACGGCGGCAACGCGAACAGCAGTAGCGCCGGCGCCGGCGTGTCCTCGTCCGAGGGAGGCGGCGCGTCCACTGTAAGTCTCCGGGGGTTTGACTTGAACCTGCCGGCACCCCTGATGGACTTATCACCGGTGGGACTCGGTTCCGGCGGAGATGATTCCGGGATGAAGAAGAGTGTGGAGCAGGAGGTGGAGAGTCCGTTACCGGTAGCAGCCGGTAATAAGAGAAGTCGTGTGCTTTTTACCAGTGAAATGGACGATGTAAAGCCTTCTTCGCCTGCGTCGTTATAAAATTGATACGGTTCTTAGAATACAGTGAATGAAATGAATTGATTTGTAATTTAATTAATATCAGTTTCTTGATTGATTAGGATGAGACTTGATTCCTTTTTCACTTATTGCTTTCTTGTCACTCTGTACAGACATATTTGTTCATTGCTTTTTTGTCATGAAATAAATTTACCATTCTCATTTTTATTTACATTCACGTGCTGAAATTAATTATTGTCTAAGGAATAAGGATATATATACTCTTCCTGATCATGATATTAGTAAACTAATCTCGGTGCAGGTCACTTGTAAATGTTCATTTTTCATTAAGGATATGTATTTACCATTCTCAGATTGATTATTTTTCTCGAAAGATCAAGAGAAGAGGCCAAGGGGAAAACAGTAATCACTCGCAATAATGCAAGAGAGAGAAGTGAATCATCATGCTTTTGTTGAAGTGGCCAATAAGGGAAAAACACATTCGATTTCCAATTTTTTTCTTGTACTTGAAAAGTACAAGGTGACCAAAAAGGCCGTGGTTTAGCAGATGTACGGCCTTTGAGACAAAAACTGGAAATCTATGTTAAAAGGGGCATAATAATTATTAGTAATTAATAAAGGATGTCAATTTAGATATATAACTTTATGATTATTGATTAAAAAGTATTTATACTTATATATCATCCATTAACAATATCCTTATACTTAAGTTGAACTTAATCCTTACAAACTATATTAATATTTATTTTGATAAATCATCCTGAGTAATTTTGCCAGTTAATTTCAAACTAATTTCAGCTTACCACTTGTGTTTAAAAAAAATCTCCTTTTTAAGATAGATGACTAAATCATCTTCTATAAATTATAGTACATATTTTTCTCATTAAATGGCAAATACATTTGAAATATTTTATCTACTCAATGGCATTTATCTCTCAGAAAAAAAAAAAAAAAGAAAAAAAGAAAAAAAAGAGGGAAACCCATTAATGATGGGTTGGCATTATGAAGTTATAGAGGATTGACAATTGAAGTTAGATGAAGTCAAGGTCTTTTCCAATCAATCACCAATTCTCGTGGAATTTTCTCTCTCAAAATTCTAAAACACAAAATTCCGCAGCCGCGTGAACCCCATTAATACCACCAACATTGAAAACGGAGAATTCCATGCCAGTCAATTGTCACTTGCTAGCATTCATTCGTTCTTTTTTTTTTTTTTTGTAGCATCTGTTATTCTATTATTTTTATATTTATCTTTATTTTTATACATTTATTAAACATTAAAAAAATTTAAAAATATTTTTTGTCTTTATTAAAAAGGTAAATGTAAAAATTTATTAAATTTTAAGAGAGACAGTAAAATTTAAGATGTTCTTTAATTTCGGTAAAACACGTTAAAAATAACTTATAAATAAAATTAAAAAATATAAAATAATTTAATTTGGATCAATTCAATTAGATTAAATTCAAGTATTATTGGAGAATTTGAATTAATAATAATTAAAAGATTAGGCAAAGAAATTAATGACGAGGCAGCGGCATGTTAGGGGGATAGGGAAGGTGGGTTGAACCAAAACCTTCCCATGTGGTTGCTGTCTCTAATCAACATGTTGGAATCATTATACCAAATTTCAAATTAAATGCTTTGATCTTTTGGCTTAATTAGGGACACTCTCACTGCTTGTTGGGCTGGTGAATTATATCTACCCACTAATTTATATAGTCTTTGTACTTATCCTCCTCCATATATTTTTATAGGCCATTACATCATGTCTATTTATTGCTATTTTGCTAGTTTTCTTCTCTTTTTTATTAGGTGTCTGAAAAGTACTAAACAAACCAAACTTCAATGTTCTACAATTATCCAATAAAAACTAATTAAAACCAAAAGATCAAAACATTCTAATGATAATTAAAGAGGGAACCCAAAAAAAAAAAATTTAATTCATTTAACTTTTTCTCATACTGAGAATTAATTTTTTTAAATTTACCTTATATTAAAAATCAAACAGAGTATTTTACAATAACCGACTAACTTCTAAACGGTAAAAGAATATATTTGTGTATGGTGCTGGAATTCAATGGGGGACTTGAGACCCTGAAGACAAGTGGCTTGTAAAAGATCTGGGAAGGGAACCACTCAATGCTACTAATCCGCCACTGCTTCTACAAATTTTTATATGGCTATTTGAATGAATCAAATTCAAACATAATTAGATTTAATTAAGGGTGGTTTTCTCCAATATATATATATATATATATTTGGTATTTATATAGATTCAAACTTAGAGACTCCGTGCTTAAACAATCACAATCCTCTCAACAATGATTCACATCCTGGTATTGTACAAAAATTTTGTGGGGGGATGCTTGACGTGGCCTTGAATAATGCTACTATGATTATTTCAATAATAATAATAATAAATAAATAGATAAATATTAAAGGCAGTTTGATTAGGTGGTAGTAATGATATGATGAAGTTATGCATGGAAGCGTTGAATGGTATGCAAAGCAGTGAAGAGGCTTACGCGTTAATAATAGTATGGAGCTGTACTACGCGTCCCTGCTTGTGACTTGAACGTGTCTCTAATGACTAATCCTATGCCTGCCGTCTTCTTCAAGTTAACCTTCCTCCTCCTTTCCTTGATTCTTGCCGCTCATTACACAACCCAATGTTCTTTCTATTATTAATTAATTATAATACACACACACAATCCTAAATCAGGGTAATGCAAGTGAAGTAAAATTTATAAGTTTAAAGGACTTTTACACTTAATAAAATTAATCTTTTTAAATAAGTTGTTTTTTTTTTAATTTATACCAATAACATCAGTGCCTTCATTGAAGTATTGGTTTTATGGACAGTGGCAGGCGCAGGACCTGAGCCAGTGGGGGCATAATTAAATAAAATTTAAAAATAATTAAAAATAATTTAATATTTATGAAATAAATATTTAGTTTTGTAAAATAATATTAGGAAAGGAAAAATTAAAATAATATTTTTACAAAAATAATCTAAATTTAAATATAATGTATTCAAAATTTAAAGTATTTTGAACTTGAGTGAAATATAAAAGACCTAAAAAACTTTTAAACTCAAATATATTTTAGTTTGGGTCTAGTGGGTTCAAAACTATTAGGGTAATGGGGAAAATTTTTAAAATTTTTACCTCTTCTTTATAAATTTTTTAAGTTAAGTGGGGGTACTTGCCCACCCTTAACTATGCTTATGTCTGCCACTGTTTATAAATTTTCCTTTGAATTTTGGATTCGCTCTCATCCTTTCTCTATTCCTGTAATTTGTCAATTACTTGCTTCCTTTACAAAAATCCAAGTCATTTCGGAGAAGGCTGCTTCACTGCTTCTTGCTTAAAGTCTAGCTGCCCAGCTTGGAAGACAAGTTTTATAAGCAACTTATATGCATAGTGGACTCAAATCTTCTTTATGCGAATCTACCATACAACATGCAATTTACATCAAACTTCTTTTAGTTAGAGATATTTGTTTTTTAATTTTGCTCCTTTTCAATATTTCTTTTTGTTAGACGAATCTTTTGGTGGGATAACGGCTTTTTATTTATAGTTTCATTCTTGAATGAAATTAATGTTTTCCAAAAGAATAGAAGAAATATATATCCTTCTAGTTAGCGAGTCCCTCCTTGGATATACAAGGATCCAAAAATTAATTATTAAGCTAAATTAATTTGTGAGTCATATCGCGCTTGATAGACTGGCGATCTCAAATTTCCTAATAATCCAATAAAAAATTGAATTAATTTAAGACAATAACGTATGTGGATGTATAACTATAGTCTCATAATTTGCGACAACCTAGGTAGCGCTACAAAACTTGAAAGATTGCTTCGTATAGAAGTGTAAGAAAGTTGAAGAAAAGGCTATGATCGAGAAGCTTTACTTTAGATAAGAAAAGAACTTTTCAAAGTAAAAAAAGAAAAATAATAATTAGATGACAAATACAAATAGGAATTTGCATCATTCATGCGTGCACACTGCACACGTGTAAATAACGAATTACTCTCTCTGTTCCAGTTTATCTATATTTTTGACAAAATTTTTGTTTGACACACACTAATAAAATTCATTAAATATATTTTATAATTTTATTTTTCTAAAATACAAGTTTTTAAAAGTACCTTCCTTTAAATATAATATTGTTTATGAAATATTAAATGGAAAGAGAAAATATAATAAGGATGGAGGAGTATATATTAGAACAAGTATAATTCATGAAACAATTACCAAAAAGGCTGAAAAATTACCAAAAAGTATAATTCATAAAACTTCTTTTTGGGGTAAAAGTGCTTTATATTTTAAGACACAGAATCACCTCTAAGAACATTTTATAAATTGAAATAAAGAGAATATGGGCCATTATGCACCCCTCCCTATTTAATTAATTTGGTCACTTTTTCCCCCCTTTTTTTAAATTTTCTTCTTCACGGAGAAAAATTGCAGTTTACTACGTACCATTGGTGAGTTTTTCACTCTTCAAATTAACCCACCCGTTCAATAAATAATCAAAGTTATCGTAATGCCACTACAGGAGTAAATTTAGAATTTATCGACAACTAAGTTTTCAATCAATTTTTTTTTTAAAACAATAAGTTGCAAATATGGATTTAAGCAATTGCAAACAAAAATATCAACCATAAATTGAGAGTTATATATAAAATTTAAATGTCTTCTTTGAAATTAGAATTCCCGAATTCATAACTATCTCATTACAAAAAAAAAAAAGAAGATCATTTAGTAGTAGTTTTCATAAACGGCTATCAAATATGATTATTGTAGTGATTTTGATCTAAACTGCTATTATATTATAACAATTTGACCCGCGCCTTTTAACGAGAAACATTGTAGCGGTTTTCTTGTACAAAATCGTGATAAAAATTATAGCAATTCACTAAAACCACTAACAAGGAAGGCACCAAATGGCACCAAAACTTAGTAGCAATTTGGATGATGAAATTGCTACAATTGTTGTAGCGATTTGTGACCCAAACTACTACCAAATTGCCTTGGGTAACGGATAGTTGCCATGGTATGGTAAATTTGTGTACAATACTTAAGTGGACTATTGATGATTTTACAAGACTTGAAATATTGTCTGGTTGGAACATGCATACTAGGTTAGCATGTTTGTCATGCAACTTTGATGCTAAGTCGGTTCGTCTCTCACACAGTCACAAGAAG